CGTGGTCATTTATTTGCTATTAAACTGTTTTACCTGCTTCCGCTTATTTAATTATTTTCTATCTCATCGTCAGACATGTATTATTATTTGAAATCTGAATCATGTTTTTGGATTATCATCGCATGCTTTGAAATTTGAACTTATTTGACTATGATTTGGTTATACATCATGTCGGAATTATGAATTGAAGTATTTCATATGATGGATAAATTGTTGAGGCATGTTGAATGTTAACATGAAATAAATGTTCGGGATGGTTGATTTCCCGTTTGGTTAAGTGGGGACTTAACTGTTGATATGTGTAATTTGAGTAGTGCTCGTTAAATAAACTTATTGGTTTTCGAAAAAAATTAACTCTGATTTTGGAAAATATTTGGTATTTTTCTCTTAAAAATAACGGGGCGTTACATGCTTGGATATAACTTTTTTTTATTTGATTGAATTTTTTGGTTTGGTTTGGTTAATTTTGGAAAATGTGGTATGACTAGTTGTTAGTGGTTATATTAAAATAGTATTTAAAATAAAATAATTAAAGTTTATTTTATGTAAAAGTAGGAGAGAGATGATTTCAAGTGATAGTTAGTTAAAATTATGTGAGTGGATGAATAGTGAATTAAAGTTGATGTGATGTGTAAGACTATATTTATCCCCAACCCAAACCAACCCAACCCAATAATAAAAAATTGTTTCTCTCTCCTTCACTTACACAACCCAACTTTTAACAACCTACATATCTTTATACCTAACCCAACCCAACACAACCTAACACACTATTTATTTTATTTTTATTTATTAAATATTATATACGATAGATTTTTTTGTTATTGTTTTAGTTATGATAAATTAATTAAAAAAATCTATAATTAAAATAGTGATTTCAAAAAATTAATATTTGAGAACTAAAAAAAAAAAGATTACGAACATAATTAAATATTGAAATTACATAATGCGGTACGAAATAAACTAAACAAGTTAGAAACATTTCACATGAAATTACATTACACATCAACTACCATTGCCAAATTTTTCCCATATATGCTCAATCAAGTCATTTTTCAAAGTCACGTGAGCTTCTCTATTACGGAGTTGTGATAGGTTTGTGATTCTTTCAGTCGAGTATTTAAAAGGCATATCATCGTCCTCTTCTTCTACTCCATTTCTTCTATTCCTTCGTTGTTGCCTCCGTCCGTTTGTAGGCCTATCGTTCATAAATTCTGTAGGATTATAATAATTCAAGTAGGCATCCCATTCATCTTCTACTATCATATTGTGCATGATGATACAAGCCATCATAATTATTCCCATAAAAAAATGATCTCATACTAGACATGGTCGTTTGATAAATGCAAAATGAGCTTGTAGAACATCAAATGCGCGCTCAACATCTTTTCTAGCCGCCTCTTGGTGCTGAGCAAACAACTTGTTCTTTTGAAGTTGCGGAGAAGTAATTGATTTAACAAATGCAGCCCATGAAGGATATATACCATCCGTGAGGTAATATCCCATTTCTATTTGTTGACCATTCACAACGTAGCTGATTTCTGGTGCACGACCTTCCAGACTATCATCAAAAATAGGAGATTGGTGAAGTACATTGATATCGTTGCACGAACCCGGTGTTCCAAAAAACGCATGCCATATCCATAAGTCATATGATGCAACAGCTTCTAAAATAATTGTTGGTTTTCCATTTCTTCCTGCATATTGCCTAGCCCATGCTGTAGGACAATTTTTCCATCCCCAATGCATGTAGTCAATACTTCCTGGGAATCCACGTTGCTCCCCCGCATGAAGTATTGTTACCAAATATTGTTCATTAGGCCTACTGAGGTATTGGCCGCCGAAGCTAGAAATGACTCCTTCTACAAATTTCATGAGAGATTCCCTCGTTACAACTTCACTTCTTCGCAAGTATTCATCAACAGCATCCGCTGATGTTCCATAGGCCAACACCCTTATAGCTGCAGTACATTTCTGCAATGGTGAAATGCCCAACCTATCAGTGGCATCACGCCTTTGTTGAAAATATTTGTCGTTGGTGGTGATTTCGCTCACTATACGAAGAAAAATATTCTTACGCATGCGAAATCTCCGACGGAATGCATCTTTAGGACAGGTTGGATTGTCGGAGAAGTAGTCATTGAACACATTCTCCTCTCCTCTCTCTCGTTGCCTCTCAATGACTTGCCTTCTACCTCTAAGAATGTGATTTGTTGGTTGTAAGACCATATTTGGAATACGAACAATCACATCTTCCATAATACGATCAAATTGTTGATTTTGTTGAATCACTCGTTCTTCCCATTCATCAAATTCGATGAAATCGGAAGTTTTAGAACTAGAACTTGAATTTTCAGATGGGTTTTCAGTCGAAGACATTTCTGAACAAGAACGAATTGTCTCAAGAAAAACAAAGTTATAATTGATATAAAGAAAATGGATATGAGATGATTTTGATATCAATTTGATGTGAATTCAACCATATTATATAGGAATGTGGTATGAAGAGTTTGGTGTAGATTTAACTTAAAAATAAAATTAAAGTAAATGTAAAAGAAAAGTAAAGTAAAGTAAATATGAGAAAAGTAAAGTAAAGTAAAAGTAAAAGTAAAGTAAAATAAATTAAAGCTGCATGTGAATTCAATGAATGTGAATTTGATTGAATAAAGCTGCTATGTGATAGTAAAATATAAATTTGATCCGAATTCAATGCATGTGAATTTTGGAAGACAAAATAAAACTGCTATTTGATAGTGATAACTCATACACTATATTCCAAATAGCTCTTAGCCATTCATTTTATATGTGTCTATTATACTAGTAGATTGGACAATCATAGAAGTAACATTTGATTTCTGAAAAAGAATATATAAAAATACTTACTAAATAGACTTTTATTGAATAACTTGAATTACAGGAATTGAAAAGCTTACATCAGAATAACTAAAATGACATAAATGAAAGCTGCATGATAATAAATTACATCGACTTTCCAAATAAAATTGTTGTAATGGATGACCATAAGGTTGCTGATCATTTCTCATCTTCCGGCGATAAGTGGTCTTTTGCCAACAACGTATTCAACACCATCATATTCATTTTTCTAATCTTCCTTTCTTATTTCTTGCGTTCCAACTCCATCCTATCGTTCGATATTTTGGTCATTAAATCACATTCGTTCTTTCTTGTAAGTCCAAGACAGGACGCCGGAGTTTTAGTCAAGGGGCTGGTAGTGCACGAATTTCTGCAGTGAACTCATCAGGAATGGAAGAAGATTGTTATGCTACCTTTTCTCCTTTCTTTTTCGCCATATCTCTACCTTCGGGACGGGGAATCACAAAACATCACTAACTGGAGTTTCTGGATTTGAGGGAATTGAATAATCTCCATCTTCAGTAGTCCTTGATATTTTGGAACTACCATGGCTTTCTTCATTACTCGCTTCATCTTCAGGGCGTGAACGAGTTGAATCACGATCTAATTTTAATTCCCGTTTGGGATGCTTTCACATGACTTCTTCAAACACATGCAAGTCTGTAAACTTGCTACCACCAGCTTCATAAGTTATATGAGCTTCTTTTCAACATCTTTCATGCTCATTCCGCTCCTTTTATTTCTGCATGCTTCCATGTAAGCACCTCTCCACTTGTTTACATTTTCGTTAAGCGTTTATAACGACCTTTCATTGAATCCAAGTTTCTTTCACCAATTTCTTCTGGATTTTCCAATCGAGCTTGCTCAAACATTTGAGCTATGCGTGCCCATAATGAAGAACCCTTCTGAGTCTTGCCACACATGTTGTCCTCGCTAACGAAACACCAAGCTGAAATTAGAGCAAGATTTTATGCCACACTCCAACTAACATTTTTCGTTCCTTTTTGAGGATTTGTGGGTGTCTGTTGCATATTTTGAAATAAATTTCGGGAGATGTTTTGTGGGGGTTCGGCATTCACAGAAACTGAAAATTGGATAAGATGGCTCTTGTGAATAATTTTTAAAATTCTAAAAATTTTCAGAGTTCGAAAAGTTTTGAGTAAAATTGAGGTAATACTCAAAATTTGGATCCATACGGTATTTGTTGAAAAATAGGAAAAATAAATGAGATAAAATTAATAAGGTATGATTAAGAAAAAGGTGAAAAGAGAGAAATTTCAATTGTGATCTAAAACATATCAAGAGTGGTCTCTATTTATAGAGAATGAAAAAATATGAATTTTGATATATTTTTTTAATATATAATAAACTCAATAATTGAGTTATCTTATCTTAGTACATTAAAATTAAGGTGGCCAATCAGAATGGGACAAGTGTCTCATTCGTTATCCAATCCAAGCAAGAATTGAATTAAAAAATAAAAAAAGGAAAAAACATCCCAAAGCCGGTTGCGACCCAAGGTCACAATGTGACCTGGGTCGCTTAATTTTCGGCCTTTTTATTTTTTATTTTTTTTGTTTTTTTTTTTGTCTTTTTCTTGGTGATCCAACCTAATGAGTCACCGATAAGGATAGCCTAAGAATGATTTATTGATATTATTTAATTATATTGACAATATTGATAATAGTGAAGTTGAGTTAAAATAGAGTTATAAAAGTGGTTGAATTAAAAATGTTTGGATTTTTTTGAGTAGATTTGTATTCAAGCATCCTAGCCTCTCATACTTATAAACTTTGTATTTTTTGTATGATATCTTTATTATTTAAAAAAAAAAAAAATGAAAATTACAGGATTTGCGTAAATCGAAGAGTGCTCATTTGACTCAGTACATTAATGAAATGACGACATCGCCCAAACGATCTCTTGGGGCTCACCGACGTCGTTTGCTTGTGTGCTTTGGGTGTGTCCTGCTGACTTGAGTAGTGCACAAATTCTTTACACGCTAAATCTCATCTCCCATAACTCCTCAATAATTCCTGCTCATCGACCTCGATTATCGTCGCCCGAGGTGAAAACTAATCAGCTACCTGTTCCCATATATCAATTTCCTTTTGTTGCTTTCATAAATGCCTGATTTAGTGAGGGCATATTGTATTCCAGAGATTAGGTCTTTTTAATTTAGGGAGTTGCTGGTATTGGATCTGGTTTCTACTGCCCTTCGAGAGTTACTATATTTTGTATACTTTGCATTTGATATGGGTTGCTTTTTATGATCAAGTGGAATATCGTTAATGAATTATTGGTAGATGTGTGTCAGAAGATCAGCGGAGCTTAGTTTCGTTTGAAATGGGTTCGAAAGAAATTTTCTGGATATAGATCTGCTCCTCATTTCCCTCATTATTAAATCGTTCTGTTTTTTGTTTTGTTATTTTTTTTTTTATGTATATTATTCCATGATTTTATTTATTTATTTATTTTTTATTGCTACAACGTTCGTGGATGCCTTTGAGCTGACTGATTATTTTGCTTTGTATTTTAGTGCTCTACTTGGTAAAAAGGATCATCCCAATCTTTAGGCGATTTTTATTGAGGTCTTGTACCAATCATGAATTGACTCCGCACTTCGATTCATTTGTTTTGCACCCGTGTTTTAATTTGTTCACAATCTTGCTGTCAATGTCTTTCTGGAAGTCCAACATGCTCTATTCTTCTTGGGTGAATTTTTAGGTTGTTCCTTGATTGAAAATGTGTTTTTGGTTTGTAGGGTTTGTGGATCCAAACTAATCATGGATGGGTTTGGAGGTGATGGTCCCTCAACAGCAGCTGCCGCCCTAAGCCAACGGAGGCACGAAATGTCAAAACTTTTCCAGTACTATTTAGATAAATCAACTCCTCACTCTCTTTATCGGTGGATTGCAACTTTTTCTTTGGTGTGCGTTTATGCACTGAGAGTTTACTATCTTCAAGGATTCTACATTGTGACCTATGGTTTGGGAATCTACATTCTAAATCTGTTGATTGGGTTCTTGTCACCTCTTGTTGACCCTGAGCTGGAACCTTCAGATGGTCCTATGCTGCCCACAAAAGGCTCTGATGAGTTCAAGCCTTTCATTCGCCGCCTTCCCGAGTTCAAATTCTGGTACTTACATTTTATTGTTTAGGCAGTTTTTTATTTTATTTTATTTTTCTCCGTGGTTTTTAAATCCATTGCCTTCTGGAAATTGATATACTGTCATTTTTGGATCTGGATTCTTTCATAAATCCAAATGATTTTCTAGGTACCTTTGATTTCTGGTCTGTTAGTAAGGAGGTCTTGCCTAATACATAATTATATAATCAACTCCGATACTGACATACACCACTTTAGTGTTTTTATGAGGTGCTGAAAATAACTATTTAGCATCTAAAGTTAATGAATATATATTATCTAACATGTTATCAGGTTCTTAAAAAGCATATTAATGATGGAACATATATTTTCTCAATGAGTTAGCATTGTGGAGAATTGACTGTAATTTGTTTGATATAATGTTTGGTTAGGTTTACTCAACGAAAGTTGGCGAGTTGGCACATCTTATTGTTGGAGTTTCATATTAGTAGCTTGAACGAGAAAACATTTTCTTTTGTTCCTTGAAATGGTAACATGACTACGTACTTAGGTCCTTGTTTTTAGTATGGCACCTTCTTTGCAGTATTCCAGTTGCTAGGTGACATGATCAGACATCATCCTTGCTCCAACTTTGGGTGCATCAAAAGCAGACGTTTTTCTGGGTTGTTCATTCCTATAGACTATGTTTGTGTGCACACCTCCTTTATATGCGTGCATTTGCAACCTATCAGATGACCTGATTCCCTAACTTGTTAAATTTTTGTTTCTGAAATTGAAAATGGCAAAAGAAAAGGGTGTTTCACTTTTGACAAAGTACTGCATTTCATGAATTAAACCATGAAGTTTTAGTTTAATCTCTGATACTTCAATGAGGTCTTTTTCTTATTTGCTTTGGGAAAATATACTGTGAAATACTCCTCTTTTCTGGGCTAAGATTTAATGCGGATGATTGTGTCTGATTAATGTTGTTGCAGGTATGCCATCACTAAGGCTTTCTGTGTAGCATTCTTGATGACCTTCTTTTCCATGTTCGATGTCCCTGTTTTTTGGCCTATATTATTGTGCTACTGGCTCGTCCTTTTTGTCCTAACAATGAAACGTCAAATAATGCATATGATCAAGTACAGATACATACCATTCAACACTGGGAAGCAGGTGATCGATCACATAGCCGTATATCCTTTATTGTTTCTTGTCTAGTGTTGGAACACAACCTAAACATTTTTTCATACCCTGAAAGAAATAATTTTGGAAAACTACTGTGGCAACAAAGCACCAAATGGTAAATTGTACAATGGAAACAAACATGAGATGGAGCATTTGTACCTTTTATTTTTTTTGGTAATCAGAGTATTAGACTACATCTTGATGGTACCTTATCCATATGTCATTAATTAATTAATTAATTAATTAATTAATTAATTAATATTCTATTTGTGTCAAATAACAGACGTACAAAGGGAAAAAATCAGCAGCTAGTGCAAGCAGCCCTCGAGCAGACTAAATTTTAACCAATTTATGAGGGGCTCCTGATTTAGAGAGAAAGATGAGCTTAGAGAAACCAGACTATTTGGAGAATGCCTTGAAGAATTTTATGTTTGTCGGTTTTGTATTTACATTGATATATTGACGTGCACTTGTTCGAGTTATTGGCAAACTCAGTTGTTGCACTGTTGTTTGTGTATGTGGGAGAAACTGTTTATGATGCAGTAAAGACGAGGGTTCATATTGTTTTAGATGAACTGCAGGATCACTAAAGATTGTGTAATGCGACTTTCAATTTGTTTGGTAATTGATGAACGCTGCTCGATGATTTTTTTCTTATATAAACAAATATATATTTCTATTGTAGGTTCTTGTTTGGATTGTCAACCATTCGTATGTACATATAGAGTGTTCGGATTTTAGGGTAATGTAAATTTGGGTTGTAAGAACTTTAAATTTTGTTAAAATATTAGCATCTACTGCTATTTTAGCAGCATGCAATGCTATTCTTACTCATGTTGGTATTGCTCCATTACTTATATCTGCTGAAATTGAACACTGTTGTTTTGAGGGAAATTATATCTCAAGCTTTTGGAAGGTCTTGGTAGTCCAGTGCCATAATGATATTTTTCTGACGAGGATGAAACATCTCCCCAGGATAAGCCTACAAACAGTACAAGGCGATGAAAAGGCAATACTTTTTTACTGTTTACCGACGAGTAGCAAGAAACAAGAACTCACTTGTGCGTCGAAGAAAGTTGAATCATGGGCAATCGACTCCACTTGGCGGCGGGCTCCATGGGGGAAAGCCAGTTCTCCGAGCTTCCGTCTGGGCAGTGCCATCACCAGCCTCGACCCTAGGATTAGCATGGGCACCACTGTTGGGTTATATATGTACTTACAAGATAAACATATATTTTTTTCGGGAAGATAGATTTCATTGAAAGAAAAAAATACATAATTACAAGTCAACATCAGCAAAATAGACGAGTGAGGTAGCTACCTAACTAAATTGGAGAACTACACTAATTGTAGCTTAGAGGACAACCAAACACAAAATAAAGAAAAACTCCCACAATTTAAAAATCGATGCTCCCAAAAGAGAGAATAAGAACACAAAAACACACAAGAACACAAAAACAGACAAAACCTAATAGGTACACTAAGGATTTCCCCACCTGCGGTCAAGCTACTCCTATATGCCCCAAGCAATCCAACCCCGGGGACGGATTTACTATTGACCTGGGCTGGGCTGAAACCCAGGCCTGATAACCTTTTTTAACAACTATTAGGCTTAAAATTTTTTTATTGTGTCCCTAACCTACCCGATAAACAAATTCGATAACCCACCAAAATAAATCATCATACGTCCAAACACCACTCTCAATACTATAGTAAAATATTATATGGTTGACCCACCCTTTACACTAACCCATAAATTACAGAACACCATCATACACAAACACTAATAAAAAAATTCACCCTGTTCATGCCCCTCTGAAGTGTAAAGTCTGAACAAAAATCTAGAAGACCAACTGAACAACAAATTCAACCCCCGTGGCCCCGTCCATGGCCATCTGAAGACGATTTAAATTCTTCTTAAGGGTAAGTTATATTTTTAAATTCCCTCTTGGAATTTAGACATTTGTTCTATTTGTTTAATTGTATTTATTTATCTTTTCATTTTAGTCGAGCTATTAGGGTTTTAATAGTAATTAGTAGGATCATTTGGTTGCAATTTCTGTTATGTTGATTGTGTATGAATTAGTAATTAATTTTTTTTTCATCTCTTATCCTCTAGTGTGGTTGTTGTATATCATATTTGGATTTAAATTTATGGCATTTCATTTTGCTAATAGCTATGTCATATGGAAAATCAATTTATTGGTATTGTGCAATTTTTCAGAAATTCACATGGAGTACCAACCTTCGGCCAAGAAAGGAAAAACCCCACTGATATCATCATTCTTTAGAAAACGGGATAGTCAAACTAGTGAAAAAACATCAAACACAGTGTAAAATGAGCATAATGAATCTCCTTCACCGCACATCGCTCCAATTCTCCCAGCCAGACTTGAACACAACTACTTATATTGAGCGAGATCTAGGAAAAAGAACGCAAATAGGTGAATATCCCATTCAGCTCAGAGATGGAAATAGACGGGAATATTTAATAGCGGGACCTTATCAACTGAAAATAGAAACATATCCGATCTCAAGATTTGGTGCCCAAAATCTCAGGTTCCAAAATAGGTGGTTTGATAAGTTTCATTGGCTGGAATATTCACCCACCACGGATAAAGCCTATTGTTTTTACTGCTTTCTATTCTTAAGTGAAGTTAATATGCACAATACTTCATCATTAAACAATGGGTTTCATAATTGAAAGCGAATAAGTCAAGGAGATAAATGTGTATTTCTTACAACTTTATCACCTCTACTGTGCGTGTTAGAAGAATGGAGGATTTGATGAGGCCCTCCGGACATATAGACAAAGACTTACATGCTCAGTCAAAAATTAAAGAAGTGAGAAATCGTTTACGCTTGAAAAGTTCAATTATGAGCATTCTATGGTTAGAGAGAAATCGTTTACGCTTGAAAAGTTAATTAGTTGATTATGAATTATATATGGTTGGTAAATTAAAGAATGTTACGTGTATATTTTGAAGGCCAATTAAAGAATGTCACATATCATTTTCTTAGAGAATAAAATAAATAACAAATTCTTTTAATAATTTCTATTAAAGAGATAAATGTTTGAAATACATGGACCAATTTGTAAGAATAATGGTTTGACGTCGTCCGACAAAACTTAAGTGTTTTCTGGAAGATTTTCTTGTTAAGCAAGCAAAATAAATTAAAGGGAAGTTTTCTATTTATTTACTTTTGATTTAATTAAGTTCTTTTTATTTATTATTAATGTTATATGGTATATATTTATTATAATGTGTATTATGGAGTCCTAAACCTTTTGGAGAAGTACATATATGTCACATGCATTAATGACCTTGATTCTATGCCATAAGTAGTTTTCTCTTTCTTGTAGGATAAGGAATAGGTGGCAAGGACTATGAAAAAATGAGTTATCCACACAAGAAGAATTTTGGACGTTCATGAGAAGATCTAAGGAGGATTTGGAAAGATTCACCACAAGATCTTTGAAGATTTGGAAGATCGGCTATTTTAGGAAAGTCGTATTTTTACACGAGTCTGGAAACATGAGATTTCTATTGGAAACTCAATTCTGAAGCTCTCTAAATCACATACAGGAATTCTACATCAAGGAAACTTACTTTACATGAAGGATTCCGCCTAAGATCTGAAAGGAATCACCTGAGAATGAAATTGACTCCTAAAAAGAAAAGGAGAAACTTGTGAAGACTCCTTACCGTAAGGAGATTGTATATAAGACTACTCAAACTATCAATTAAGGGAGCTGCTGCAATAATCGAGATCATCATTCATTAGCTTCAATTGAGCGTCTTAGAGTTTTTATTTTATTTTATTCGGTCCAATACTTCAGCGATCTTACAATGCTGCAGAACTGAGTTTGTTTAGTTTCTTTTTCTTATTACAAACACTTTTTAGTGCTTAGGGATTAAGTACTTTTGTAGCTGGGAGGGATTCTTAGCTATAGTAAAGTCCACGGGACGTGGCCAGGAAAGTAGTTGATAGGATCGGGTATAGTGTTGGCTAGGCTAGGAGGGAGTCCGACGTCCAAGCTGTATTTTGTGGGATGCAAACCGATTTATCAATGAAAGAGCTATGAGGGGTAGTGGGATGCTCCCTGAAGACATATAATTTTTTATATTGCTTCTGCTTTTAAATTTGTTTTTCTGTGTTGCAACACAATTTCGTAATACAAAATTTTCGTGTTCTAACACAGTCTGCGTACTCTATACTCCCCCACCATCATTTCAATTGGTATCAGAGCAGTTTTCCTGTTCTAATCACAGGATAAAGATCCGAGGTTAGTTGGATTTGGAGCCATGAACCACGACGTAATATCAATCTCGCGTCCCCCGTATCTCGACGGATCAAATTACTCATATTGGAAGTGCATGATGACGATTTTCTTGTGCTCATTAGGCAAGGGAACGTGGGAGATCATTGAAACTGGTTGGTCTTGGCCTATGATGGAGGAACCACCTCCGAAAAACAAGAATGCAACAACATCTTCCTCTTCTACTACCACGATGGTTGAAAAGCCCAAAGGATTGTGGAGGGATGCCGAAAGAACTGGAACAAGCTAATTATAGAGCACTTTATGCCATCATGACCGCCGTGGATCAAACACGCCACAACATGATCATACAATGCAAGATGACACGTGGCGCATGGAAAATCCTCGAGCGTCAGTTTGAAGGTACTAGCGCGGTGAAGTATTCCAAGCTCCAAAGGATTACCACAGAGTTCGAAGAGATTCACATGAGGATGATGAAAATATAGATAGGTACTGTGCACACTTTTGTGATATCGTTAACCAAAGCGCCATGCTTGGTGAGGAGATATTTGAGGCGAGGCAAGTGCAAAAGATCATGAGGACCCTTCGTAAACGATTCTGTGAGAAGATCACCACACTTGAGAGCTTTCAGGGAGTCCAACCTCTTGGTCTCGATGACTTACTTAGAGACCTTCGTATCTTTGAGTTGTGGTTATGATAAGAAGACAAGCAAAGGCCTAGCTGTGAAAGCTGATGTTCCAACACAGTCTTTGAAGGTTAATGTTCCAACACAAAATGAAGACGAAGAGGATTCTGATGATGAGCCTCTTGATGCTGAAAGTAGTACTAAGGCTTGGGATGTTATTACACGTCACTTTTCTCAGCTGAAGAAGAATAAAAAAAAAAGTTCCAAGGGAAGAAGCCTGCTGATTCCAGAAAGAACACCAATCAATGACGTTCCAACACACCTTCTCGCAAGACTCAGAATTAGGATCTAGAGAAGAACCAATGTCGTGAATGTAAGGGATTTGGACACTTTCAAAAAGACTGTCTGAATTTCACGAGGAAGAAGAAAACCTATCAAGCCACATGGGATGATGATGAAGACGACGATGACCAATAACACACGAACAACTTTTCCGTTAATTCTCTCAATAACTTCACGTGTTATACATCCTCTCACAAGCCTTTTGATGCTGATTCAGGTATGTCTTCTTACACGTATAATTCTGAAAGTGATCATGATGATTCTGGAGATGTTTCTGTAGAAGTAGACTTGGAAGCCCATTAGCTTGCATTAGAGACGTGCCTCAAAGCTGGAAAAATGGTGAAAAATCTACAAGCTCAAGTCGAGGTGTTCCAACATCGTCCTGTAGAGCATGAGAAGATCGCTTACTTGAAGGATGAACTTCAGAAAACTCACATGATAAATGACGAACTGAATGATAAGTTGGCCACTGACATTCATATCAGCACGGAGGGACATAAGCTGTACGAATTTGTTACCAAAATCGTGATGTTAGAACACGAACAAAAGTTGTCCAAGCAGGTATGTGATGAAAAGGATTTTGTCATCGAGTCTCTACATAATGAAATGTTTGCTTTGTAGAAAACTATAGGTGAAA